TATTAAACCAAGTGGCTGCACTGTTAACTGGCTGTATGGTTTCATTTAGATGAATTGTCTCTTGTTTCTCCGTCAAAGTTGAAACTGCTACCTTTACCCTCTGGTATGGAGGAGACTGTGACCACACATGGAAAAGCGCTTCAGAAATAGAGGTCTCATATGGGTGTAACTTATTTATGTTTGTTAGAAATGCAAGGGCCCATTGCGCAGTGTGCCGAGTAGTCCCTGCCGCAAAGGAAGTTGGATGCCCTCGTCCCAGAATGCCCTGTACAAGTGCTGTGGAGTTTACGTTTGCAGTGTTCTCAGTGCCTTTGCGAAAATTTAGTTTGATGCAAAGGCACTAGACACATAAGAGTATTTATTTTGTTTGTTTATTGACGTATCGTTGGTGTATGACATATGTTATAGTGTGCAGTATAGTGAGTCACAGTTTTTAAAGGTTATCCTCCATTTGTAGTTATTATAAAATGTTGGCTACATTTCCCATGTTGTAGCCATGCAGCAGTACTTCTCAGGTCTGCCTGTCCCGTCAGCTGAACACAGGCCTGGGGGGCTGCTTTGTTGCTCTCCTGGGAGCTCAGACCACGGGAGAGGAGGCGGATGGGTATTTCATACTGAGAGTCCAGTATGTTCATAGAACTAGAATGTCGCAGACACATGTACAGCCTGGAGACGTGCATTAAACTTACATGATTGAAGTTTGTGTGATCATCTCCATTAGCATGAATTGTTGAGAACTGCCAGAGCTGAGGACTTGACTGTGAATAGGATGGAGATTATGAAATCCATGATTAAGGTTGCATTTATGGTTAGGCAGTTGGGATTTGTAAGAAAATTTGAAGAGCATTGGGTTAAAAATCAAATTTGGAAACTCGATCCATGATGCTTTGTAGCATCTGGATTGGAGTGTGACTAAACATGTCTTCAGAGATACGGATTTTTTATAAATCAAGAAATTTGAATATAACAAACTCTAGAACATCAGCTTTTTAAAATTTAAAGCGTTATTCAAAATATGAGTAATACTTTGTTACCAAAAATTCTGGGACTTTTTTTTTCCTTTTTCTAAGTTTTTTTTCCTTTTCCTGAGACTTTCTGAAGCTTAAATTTCATTACTGATTTGTTCCATTTTCCCCCCCTCTTTTGGAACTTTACTTAATAATCTACTCCTTACTCTGTTTGTTTATCTCTCTTTGGCTTCGCCACTGAGTGTAAACATGCTTAAGTAAGTGCCTTTCATTGTGTCCAAAGCAAATGAACTCTCAGACCCTTCGTCTCCCTCCCCAGCCTCCTTTCTCTTCTTCCCTTCCAACCATGCTTTCTTTGAAAGAACAGACTGAAACTCACTTCTCTGACTCTCCATTCGCTCGTCACGCCCCTGCCCTACCAGTCAAGTAAACCGTCATCACCATGAAGGTGTTCTTTTTGTTGTGCTGTTACCTTTGTGCTGCCTTCTTTCTGAAGCACCTCCCCTGACTTGTGTGAACAAACTTCCTGCCTTTCTGGCTGTTCCAGTGCAGACCTTCGAGGTCTCCTCTGCCGGCTGCTCATCTTTTGGCCACTCCTGAAAGGTTAGTTTTGCCTTGAATTCTAATTGTGTTTCGATTTCAGATTAAACCAGTATTTCTCAACATTTTTTTTAAACCATGTCTCTTTTTGATAAATAAAAATCTGTGGCTTCTATTCCAGTTGAGGTAGGGTACGCCGTTCTTCCCTCTGCCCCCTTCACGGAGAGTCATTGCTGCATAGAAGATTGGAGGTTTACTCAGCTGTGTTGGTGTATTTTGTCTACTTTGTAATCCGAGAATGATGGGTGATGTTTCCTTTTCCAAGTACGAACGTGCTATTTCAAACTAACTCATCCCTTCTCCCTCCTGCTGGAAGTTTTGACGCTTCTCCCATTGGAAGTCACTGCTCTCCATCCATCCACTCTCCTTGGGTGACGCTCTAGACCTGTTTCTGTGCAGACTACAGCTTTCTACCCCAGACCTCTCTCTGGGTTCAAGACCTGTATGTCTAACTACTGGTTGGACATGTCCACCTGGACAGCCCGCAGGCATTTTGAATTCAGGATGCCCCAAAGCGAGTGTGTTCTCCTCCAAGCCCGCTCTTTCTGTATTATCTGATTTGAGAAATGGGAATGGTGCTGCTTTCTGTACCGCTGCCTGGATTACTCTTTCACTGAGCTGGTTAGCACGTTTTTGAAGTCTTAACACTTTCCTAGTCCACCCCTTCTTTCCAGTGTTCCTGCTCTCGCACGTGCCTTCATACATCTCTTGTTTAGATTTTTCCAATGTCCGTCTAAGTTAGTTTCCTTGTCTCCAGTCTCCATTCTGTCTTCCACACTGCCTCCAGGATGATGTTTCTAAAATGTAATCTCTGAATGTGCTTCTCTTGCTTAAAATCCTTAGGTGATTCCTAATGGTGTTTTGCAGTAGTTGTAGCCTTTTTTTTTTTTGCATCATGATCTAATCTGAGAACCTACTGAAAGGAATTGAGTGATTTTTCTCTCCAGAAAAAATGCTTGTGTGCACAGTTTGCATAGTTTTAGGGGGTTCATTCATGGACATGGTTAAAATAATTCCTGGCTTACAGGATAAAACCCAAGCTTCCTAGCAGCCCGTAGCACACAAGGCGTGCCAAATACTGACCACTGCAGCCATGCTGAGCCCCGTCTTCCTTTGTCTTAGGGGTTTGCCCTGTCGGATTCCTCGATTTTTGTAGTATTCCATGCTGTTTCAGAATACTTCTGTGCCTTTTGTGGTGTACTTTACATCTGAAGTTGACCCCGATCCATTGCCCAGCTGGCTCAGTTAGTGAACACGTTCCAAGATGGGCTAGATTTTACTTTATAAAGCCTTTCCTGATTTCCACATCCTTTTCCCCTTCCCCAGAAAGACTTGCCTGTTTCCTCTTGGTTTGCCTCTCCCACTCATGGGTACTGACTTATGTCATAGAATTTTTTTTATTATTGTTTATATATTTTTGTATATTTTTCCTCTACTTGGTTGAAAATTCCTGAGGGCAGGTACCTAATGCCTGTAGAGTACCTTGTAACTTAAGAAATGTGTGTTGAGTGAACACACAAATATCAGGAGGCATTGTCTTTCTATTTTTGTAGATGTAATTACTAGGTCTGGATGTGGACTTTGCAGAATTGGAATATTTTTCTAAACTGTAAATTTAGTTTAGTAATCCTCGCGTAGTGGGTTATAATTGTTGAGGAACTGCCTTAGAAATTTTAGGAAAATTAAGTCCCAGTTATGTCTTGGTTACAAATAACACGAAGTGATTCTAGCTTACTTGAGCAGGAAAGAAACTTACGGAAAGGGCATTGAGTAACTCACAGAATGGATGGGAAGGCTGTAAAATCAGACTTGGGAAATAGGTAAGAACCGAGTGAGACTTTGCTGCAAACTTAGCCAGGGTCCGGCCACAGGCACAGGGTAGTTAGGACACTGCAGCCAGGTCTGCCCTGCCCTGCTGGACTCACGCACACCCCACCTTTTCTGTGACATTGTTTCATTTATTGCATATTTTGATACAGTTTTGTAGCATTGTCCCCTGAAGGTGAAACAATAGGGACTTTTAAGTAGAGAACCAAGATGTCTTTTGATAACCTAAATAAATACTGATGCTAATAGTAACCATAAGTGCATTTTTTAAAAAGATAGTTTTTAACCATTCAAAGCAGATTTTCATGTTACCTTTTTTAAAATTTTTTTGGGGGGGTTTATTGGTTTATTTATTTCTTACTGGAGGTGCTGGGGATTGAACCCAGGACCTTGTGATGCTAAGCACACGCTCTGCCACTGAGCTATACCCTCCCCCTCATGTTATCTTTCTTTTTATTTCTTTATAGTCACCCTTTTATTTTGTGTATTTCAAATTCTGCATGAAGTTTTTCATTGCTTTTAATTCCAGGACATTTCTCTTAATTTATTACAGATCTTAAATTTTGCCAACATTCTGTGTCTCTTTGCTATTGTTAGTTCTCTGAACCTCTTTTTCTTTTACAGGTATTTCTTAAGATCTTAAAACAGTCTGTATTGTTGCTTTAAGTAGAAAAGTTATTTAAAACCTCTTAATAAAACATTTTGGCTTGAAACAACTATCAAGGTTTGTAGTAGGGGGTCAAAAGGTATAAACTTCCAATTATGAAGTAAGTTAAGTCCTGGCGATGTAATGTCGCCTGGTGACTTAAGTATATAATATTATACTGCACATTTGAAAGTTCCCGAGAGAGTAGATCTTAAAGATAAAAGAGGGTTACATGGTAGGTAAAACAGCTGTCTAAGTCCAGGTAGAGACGCGAGAGTTGTGGTTGCATTGATTAGGGCACAGGCTGGAGTGCCTGGTGGAGAGATTCAAGTGAAGTGGCTTCAATCACAGTCCAGAGGCTGCGGTCCAGTCTGGCAGGGCGGCTCTGCCCCTCAGGGTCATTAGGGACCCTGGTTCCTTCTGTCTTGGGCTGTCCCCTGGAGTGGTCCTTGTGTGTGTGTCAGAGCGAAGTGTCTGCCATGTTCACTTCCTGCCTGGGAAGGAGGAAGGGGGAAGTCTTCACGGAGAGACCCACAAGTTGCACATGTAACCCCTGCTCGTGTTCCTCTGGCTCAGACTGATCACATGGCACGTTAGGCTGCAAAGGAAATGGGGAAATGTCGTCTGCAGCTGTGTTGCCATGGAGCTAGCTGGACTTCAGGAGGCTTTATTAGCAGAAGTAAGAGAACACGTACCGCCAGGGTGGAGGGTGGAGGTAGAGTAGGGGCACAGCGAGTATCTTCCCCACGAAGGTGAAAAACAGACGAGGGAGAGCTTGGAAGGGACATTTGCTTTTGATCGGAAATCTGAGTAAGTAAGTAATCCCTACTTGTAAGTAAATTAAAGTTATGTTCTTTAAAGATTGCTGAGAAGAATATTCTGAGAAACATTTATTTTGTATTTGGTTGAGTAATTGGAGTCACTGGGAAAATGTGCTGTATGTAGTATGCTTTAAACTGAAAAGATACTTTCGGTTTTAGGTCTTCCACACCTGTAAGCAGACGTTTTGGAGCTCCACCGGCCAACCCCATGGCGTCCTCTGCTGCAGTGCCTCTGGGATTTCACTATGAAACCAAGTACGTTGTTCTCAGCTACCTGGGACTCCACTCTCAGGAGAGGCTGCCGGAGCAGCAGCTTTCCTCACCCCAAGGTATTGTCTTTGGCTTGTGTTGGTCGTGACTTCATGTGCCGGAGTGTGTGTGTCTAAGGAGTTTGTATCCACGGTTGTAAGACTGAGTAACACTGCTTAGACTTTTAAAGAGTAACTCCACCCCTCCCTTGCTGCCCTCTGCCCTACTTCCAGAAGCAGGGTTCACAGTGCCCTTTAGGACTTAATGTTTTAAATGGCCACCGTTGGTGCAGGTGAGATGTGCTAAGCATGTGTAAACAAATCCATCTGTCCTTAGAGCTTCCATACTTGAGAAGATGTAGATTAGAATTATATACGGGGGGAGAGTAGAGCTCAAGTGGTAAAGTGCATGCTTAGCATACCTGAGGTCCTGGGTTCAATCCCCAGTGCCTCCTCTAAAAAAATAAATCTAACTACCCTCCCCCCACCCCGCCAAAACAAAATAAGTAATACAGTAATAAAATATTTTAAAAATTTTAAATGAAAAAAAATTATATAATTATTTTTAAATTTATAACACAGTTCTTTGAATTACCTTTTTTCAAGGATATTAGATTTAAACACTAATCTATCTGATGGGAGTTTTAACACAATTCTTTGTATTATGAAGTTGTATTTTCCTCTCTTTATTTTCTTACTTTTTTGTTTTTTGTTTTTCTTTTTTATTTTTTTGCAGGGGGAAGGAGGTAATAAGGTTTATTTATTTATTTTTTAGAGGACATACTGGGGATTGGACCCAGGACCTTGTGTATGCTAAGCACGCACTCTACCCCTGACCTGTACCCTCCCCCCGTATATACCCTTCTTTAGATAATTTGCCAAACAAAGCTTAAAACATTTACTGGAGTCTATAACTTTATTCTCATCCATAGGTGTTTACTGTAGCCATGGAGGGAGTTCTGATTTATCTGCTGCTCTTCTAGCTCAAGAAAGGAAATTCAGAAATGACGGAGACCAGTAGCCACTCTGACAGTTAGGAGGGATGACAGAAGGTGTCCTAAAAACCGAATTTAAATACTGACATATAACTAATGGGTGTGTTCTATTTTTAAATATTGAATCATATTTTAAGTACCCCAAGGTAGGTTACTGTTTAAACAAAAATCACATCAAAATGACTTTAAAAACTCATAAAAGAAAATGTGATCCCAGATGTTTGTTATTTGAAGGCGTTGGTGGTGTAGTGGTGAGCATAGCTGCCTTCCAAATGTTTATTATTTGATGAAACTCACACAGCAAAAAAAGTAAAACTATTTTACTTTTTATTGTCTTCTGATATTTATTGATATATACATAGTTTTCATATAGTTGTAATCAATTGTTTGTAGGTTTTTCACTGTTTTATCTTAAAACATACATGTTTCCATGTTTCATCTCCATTATTACACGTCTGAATGTTTCTGTTTTTTTCAAAACGTTAGTAGCGCTGCTGCACAATTTTTGGTTTACCATAGAACACTTTTTACTTAGGTTACTAGCATTGGTAGAAGGGCTTTAATTGAAAAAGTCACAGGGGGTCATAAATAAAGAGGTTATAAGAAATTTTAATTTAAAATGTTAATAAATGTACTTTTATTTGGCAATTTTAGTGTAGGGCCGAGGCCTTTTTCTTTTTGAATATGGATCTGTTGATTGGAACTGCGTGTCACCTTCCTGCTATAAAGCCTCTCTCTCCCCATAGTTTTGAACTTGTGCCTGTTTGTAGTGGGGTGGGAGCATAAAGGCTCCTTCAAGGCAGTGCCGTTGAGTGTCGTTCTGGGGTTTCTGTGCTGGTCCCCAGCTTTCACAGGTGTTTCTCCCACACCTGATTTGTGATTTTTTTTTAACTGAAGTATAGTCAGTTACCATGTGTCAGTTTCTGGTGGAGAGCGCAGTGTCCCAGTCATGCATACACATGTATATTCATTTTCATATTTTTCATTAAAAGTTTTATAAGATATTGACCATAGTTCCCTGTGTTATATGTAAGAATTGTGATGGTATTTTTAGAGCAACTTCCCAAAACATTTAGCTTTCATAGAAATACCAAGTCTCCTTGTGCAGTCGTATTTCGATGATACCTGTGATTTTAAATAAATTATGTGATTTCAGTGACCATTATAACGTTCACAAAAAGACTGGGAGAAAAATAACTGACTGTTGTTAGGCCAACACCTACACAGGTGTGCTGGAAGTGGCAGCCCCTGCAGTGTCCAGCCCGCTGGGGCAGAGTCAGCGGGGTCTGTAGAGACACAGGAGCAGGTCTTGTAGTTCGCTTGAGTGGAGCTCAGTTAAGAGTGCTTCTGTATGTTGCTTTTTTTCCTGGTTATTTACTTTTCTAAATCATCTAGAGTCAAATTCCTGAATCAAAGAGTAAAGTATTTTCATGAGGAGTTTGCCATTCAAAATAAATCTGTCCTATAGGTTGTCATACTGTGTAGCGTTATCTTTTTAAGATTTTGCACATTGTCTTAAGGACTAGTTAGAACTTGTGCTAATGAGGATCCTGTTGTTCTAAGACTCAGGCGTTTAGACGGAACGAGCGTCTGCCGTGCAGACTTGCTGGGGGTCCAGCTGAGTTGTTGTCTTGATTGTGTTTAATGCACGTGTGGTTAGCTCCTCCCGTAGTCCCTGAGTAGGAACTATGTCTTCGACATTTCTGTGTAGGTGGAAGATTCTGGGAATTAATTCTGTGGAACACATGTGGCTTTTATCCTTCAGCCCCCTAACTCTATAGGTGCAAAGTAGACAAGAGGCTCAATGGGTGAGAGCAGGACGGCGTGTGACTCAGCCCAGCAAACCCAGGGGTGTTGCTGCACCGGCCCTGGTCCCCCTGCTCCCAGGTTCCACAGGGCAACGCAATGAACCTGGTCGGGAGTATTTCGTGTTGTGCTGCAGCTGGGGACCCCAGCGCTGAGGGCGTAGCACTCCTGCAGCAAGCCGTAGCAAGCTGAGTCCCCTGCCCCAGGGACTGAGCTGCCATGGGGTCCCTGGACCCATGAGCGTAGAGGGTCAGGCAGACAACAGTGGGGCCTTTAGTTTGTTACCCTCAGCAAGGATACACAGGGATGCTTGAGGCTCGTCCAGACTACCGCTCCCAGCAGTTCACCCCTCAGGATGACACGTGGTGACATTCGGTGAAATCTTGCTTGTCTCAGGTATCACCTGCTTAAGGCCATTGAGCAGAGTTTGAATTAGCACAATGGGGACATTAATTCTGCACTGTTGATCTTGCCAAGCACCTCAGAACCCCAGTTTCAGCCAAATGAGTAGGTCCCAGAGGGACCAGAAGGTTTTTTGCAGGTAATCACTTAGCTTCCTTCCTCAGCACATGTGGATTGTTCCACCAAACCAGTTGTAATAACCCAGCTTAGCGGGAGGTGCTGGCAGCCGTACGCTCTCCTCCCCGCCCATCCGGATGGGCCAGGATGCGTGCACCAGCTGAGGGCACCCAGACTGCTGCGCCGTCTCGTAGGGCAGCCATCTCTTGGCTGTGGCACCTGAAGTTAAGGACAGGTCCTGGGTGATCTGTGGGGCGTGAACTCCAGCACCAGGGAACAGTGCTTGCTCTGCTGTTTGGACCCAGGAGTCAGTGTGTCCCTTGAGGGGGTGACCTTCTTTACTTGGGGACTCAACAAGGGGAACGCAGCCTAAGGGGCCATCATTGAGTCTTAGGAACATTGTCCAGGGCGGGATTAGCAAACAGCAGGCCTTGTAATTTTTGATTTAGTTCACTAAGAAACATTTTCAAATCTGCAGTGAAAGCTAGTTTCCAAAGCTATTCATTATTTGATAATAGTGGGTGAGTACAGTTCCCTTTTGGAAAAATTTCAGTCTCATTTTTTAGCTCAAAAAATTGCAGCGAAATGGTGCCACTCTTCAGAGTTGGGCTGCTGTGTGATGAGGTGTGTCAGGATACCCAGCTTAACTCTTGAAGCCTGCAGTGATTAAGTCCATGACAGTAAGTGAGGTCGCTGTTGAAACTCATGGTTCATTAACACTGGCCAGATTTAAATATTTTCCAGAGTACCTGCTGATACTACAGTGAATAACCACAGGTTTTAAATACCTTACCTTTTCAGTCTTCGCAAGTTTATGCAACTAATAAGCCTTTTTCTGCTCCAGACGTATTTTTGCCACTATCAGTAACACGTCTCAGCAGAGTCCATGTCGGGTTGTAGAGAATTAGAGTTTCTTCAGTTTCTTTGAAACTGTTCTGGTCTGTGACTGCTGTGCACAGACCGGGTGGCTTCCCCAGTCTCTCACGGCGTCACCTCTTGAATGGGTAGTGACCGCGTTTCAGACACCAGTCAGCACGTCCGGAGCCAGGACCGCCACTCAGAGCTGCTTGCCTTGTGTTTTGTTTGATGACTGTGGTTGTGCTCATTGTCTTCAACTCATCGAGCAGCTGTTCTCTCCAAAAGACTAATAATATTAAACGTCTGTATTTCTTGGACACATTTCTTCAGCTGCTGCAGTAGAATCTAACTTCATTGACTCAACATCCGTGAGTGGCTCTCCTTACTTGGCTAACAGCTGAGCCATTTGCGAACTTGGGTTGTGGCTTCATTTTCGTTTCTTATTTCACAAATAAATTCTATGATGAGATGGTCCATTTTAAATTTGCTAATTTTTCTGACAGTTGTTCCCTTGTGAGTTGGGGACACTGAGCACTGGAGTCTGTTAGGAGCGATGTGAACTATGTTCTTCCAGCACAGCTGTGATGCCACTGTGTCAACAGTACTTTGCCTCTAATTTGATGACAAATTAGTCTAGTCCACTGTGTCTTAAAAGCATGATGTTCCAAGTCTGCTTTCCTTTCCTTGGTTTCGCACAGTGGGTGGGCCCAGGTACAGTGAAAGTTGTGCTGCGGCGTGCACATGGTCGTGGCGTGTGCTGGGCTCACTGCAGCGTGTGGTGAGCGCGGCTGCCCGCCTCTCCCAGTGTGGCCCAGGACAGCCGTGACAGCACGTGACTGAGTGACTGTGGCCGTATTCCAGGTAAATTTTATTTTTGGGCACTGAATTTCCTAAAATTTTTAC